TAAAAGGTCCTACATTACACAAATTTGACTCATTTGAGCTTTAAGTCATTTTATAATGCAGTTACCTCATGAAAAACATACCTGGACTTTCGTTTAGTTTCATTCGGATATGTTTAAGAGTAAACCTTTATTATTAGTCATTCTACATCTCCAAAGCTCAAAAAGCTCTATTCCACCTTGTGATGTGATGAAGCTGTAGTTTTCAAGTTAACATCTACCTTTTTACCTTTTATTCAGTAGACATTGTCAATTTCAGGGCTATAATCATCCAGATGATTCTAGTGAAGGTGTATGGAGTTTAAAACGCAATGGAACACTTGTATTACCACATGACATCACAAGATGGAACAGTACTTTCAGTTTGAGAGAAGAATTCAAGCCTAAATACGCAGTGTTTGTGTGATTAAAACAAAACACAACTCCAGGTGTGTTTTTGATGAGGAGACAACATTATAACATAGATCAAAAATAGTGCAAATATGCCCTTTCTCACATTGATCAGAAAACATTATTTTTAAAACGACAAATGACTTGGGAGCTTTACCTTGACACATTTTTATGTTCTACAGCCCTGTTCTTCTCAAGTGTCATCTGCCTCATCTGTACTGGAAAGAGCCCTCCACTCGCTGGCTTCTGGTGCAACCCTCATCAGAAAACTATTGCAATTTCTCCAGAAAATGAATTTAATAAGTCATACAAATCAATCACGTCTTGTAAAACAATCAATCAACCAAAGTGACCAGTTTATGAGGAAATTATGCCATGTTTTTATGTGCTGTAAGGCATTGTTTCCCAAAGACTGGGTCATGACCCTCAGGTGGGTCAGAAGAGATTTTTTTTTTTTGGGTCCCCTTGTCATGATCTGCATGTAGGTCTGCAATATACAGCTCTTACACATGAGAGCTAGTGACTATTTTGTTCCAATATTACTGGTTCAATTGAATGTTGAAAGAAAAAAAAAAATGGCTACATTTAATATCCAAATAGATGACTTATGGATAACTTTTATTGCTGGTTCAATTACTGTTCTTCATTGTTTAAAACTTGAGCAATATTAATTGTTCAGAGAGACACGATCACTCTGTCAGCAATAAAATATCCTCATTAATGTTCAATAATGGCAAAATCCACCTTTATTTTGTGATTTATGAATAACGTCTATTGACTTAGGTCGTGAAGGTTTCTGACTTTTAAAATATGGGTCCCCAGAAAAAAAAATGTCTGGGAAACACTGCTGTATGGTGACTTTGAGTGACCTCAAAGGTACCTCAAATAAACTGTATGATCACTGTTAATTAAGATATTAGAGCGTAAGGCTGAGATAAATGTATACAACCAAGAGCGATACATTAGCAACTTGAGGTTTATGTAGACTGGACTAAAGCATGTCTACAAATGGTCACAACTCCAGGCTGTAGAGTTCTCATTAAAAACTCCACTAAAACATACATTATCACATTTTAGGCGATTTTTCCACAAACGCTTGCGGCTCAAACAACAAATTGACTGAAGCTATTTGATTGCTGTCAACACACAGGATCTGACACTGGCCAAAGAGGCTAACAGGCTACAAGAAAACTACCAAACCCCATGGATCTGTTAAAAGAACTTCATGATCCTAGCCCAGCACATCATCACCATTAGCTTCTATAGGAGGTAATGGTAAACATGTGCTAGCAGCTGCTGCCTATGTAAGCTTACCAGTAGTAGCGTGAAGTTTATTCATCGAAAGTATTCTGTTTACATTAATGGGTTACACTGTGAGGACACTGAACGATCATGACCTAGAGGAAATTAAAGCATACCTTGTTAGTTTTTCTGGCCGTAAGCCCTGAGGAAGTCCAGCGTGATCCTGGTGGTGCATTCAAGGACATCAGAACATCAAAGCCTTGGAGAAAATGATCGGGCATTATTAGGGTGAGGCTCATCGCACACATGGCACACATGATTAAAGGAAAATGGATCAGTGGCAATGCAGATGCACAAGCATGATAAGTCTATTTATCAGTTTAATGAGTCTTTTGAGCCTATATTTGTAGCCATTGTAATTACAACAAAAGAAAATTAGTTTCTCTTCTCTTTTTTTTCCCAAATTAATTTCTAATAATATAATATAATGCACAATTGACTCTTGTGAGCTTTTAGCGGTGTTAGAATGTTGTTAGCCTACTTCACCAAAAACATACCTGGAGTTTTTTGTTTCATTCACACATGTTTGACTAATCCTTTATTATAAGTCTGTCTACCTCTTAAAAAAGCTTAAAATGCTTGTGATGTCATGAAGCTGTAATTTTCAAGTTAACAGCTACCATTTTCCCTTTGTTGAGTAGAAATGGGAAATTCCAGGCTGCAATTACCCAAATGATTCAAGTAAAGGTTTATAGCCAAAATACTGCTGAGCACTTCCTGTATTACCATATGACCACGTCACAAGGTGAGGTTTCTGTTTGAAAGAAGAAGTCCACCTAAGTATGCATGATTTGAGTATTAAACATGTGTGAATGAAACAAAAAACAGAACTCCACACATGAAAATAGGAGGGATTGTCTCACAAAGCGAATATGAAGTTTGTAGCCTATAATATCCATTAGCTATCTCCATGGAAAAAAGCAGGAGGCACCAGTTATAGGTCAGATCTATGGTGAGGCAATCCTGCTCATAAGTTTTTTTTGTTTTTTTTTGTTTTTTCCAGTAAATTACTCAAATACATGTAAGATAGATATGTTACATCTCCATGGAGACCCCCACAAATTACTTAGTGTTAAAATTGTATTAAGATAAACAAATCAGAAATTGGGGAGCCATGAAAAGTGCATGACAGTGTGAACAAAGACAGGGCAAGGCAAGCTTCCGAAAACAAACAGTGAATAGAGACAGATGGGTTTTCCATTGCAGTGCTGTGTTAATGAGAGGAAGCAGGGGAGTGCTTCCCAGGGATTGCATTGTGATACTATCCACTGTTTCACCTACAGCAGCTTGATCCAGAGAAACCTCTATGTTTGGCCCCTGTCACTGAATTTCATTATAGTTAAAATGGTAATCCCCAACTGGGTACCTGGAAAACACGAGCTCTGCAGCTCCAGAGCCCAATGAGGATATCTGGTCATGCTTCACTATATGACTCAGAATGAGAGGTGCACTGCCAACTCCACTTGTTGCTCAGTTTATGTTCATCCTGTTTTGGGCAATGGATTAATGGAAATTATTTGTGAAAAATAAAAGTGCAAAGGGCAAGTCCAGGTCCCTGATATGTGTAGCCTATTGTGGGAAACACGTAAACAGCTTACAGACATATTACAGGAAGTTTTATTTTAGATAAAGGTGCAGACTGTTTTGTTTTCCAAGGGGATCAGAGTGTGTCTAAAACTATTTTTCAGTTGGATGATAATATCTGACATTTTATTCCAACTAGGTCCTTGCCACCCTCATCAGTCTTGGCACAATTCCTCATCTTTCCTTGAATTTGATAAACATTTTTGGAGTGGAGGTGCTGTTCCTAAAGTGGCCCAATTGACCACTATGTCTTGTTTAGCCTGCGATTCCTTTAGAGGAAATAGAGGAGTATTTTATGACCCTGTCCTATATTTTGATACACGGTCTAAAACAATTTAATTGACTTTTATAATAAAGAATTATTTAAAGCCTCACCATGTAACTTTTTAGACCTAAACCAGACAATTACATATTTTTATTGCACAGAAAAACATGGATCCTAACTGTGAGTGGGCTTGAATCTCCATGAACTTGACTATTACTTGGCCTTACAGGACACCTCCACCTACTTGATTTCTTGGTATTGTACAGAACTCATCAGTCTCCAGGGAGATTGTTCTGCCAGGTTGAAAGCCAAGGAGATGGCTTTAAGTTTCTATTTTCATGCCACTGTCAGAAAGTTACACAGTTTCGCTTTAAATATGTGTATATTTTATATTGTCTTATCAGTGCCTTCCCAGTAGTCAGCTGAGAGCCTTACTTTATGACTGTTCTGTGCAGACAGTGCGGCTCCATGACAGTTAATAATAAGACTTCCGGATGTGACTGATAGTGGAAAATCACCTGCTGGATGACTCTTAACACATGAGTTCATTAAATCCTAAACAGTCATAATTTTATAAAACGCTTTTCCACCTTTAAGTCACTCTTTTCCACCTTTAAGTCACTCAGACCACTTTGCGTCAAGGAACCACTCACCCATTCATACACACACACACATACGCACACACACTCAGACATTCATACACCAGTGTACTCAAACACAGGGGCAGTGTGGGTTGTGTCTTGCTCAAGGACACAATGACAGCATTCATCCGGGAACTGAAATCACTCTGCCAACCTATGGGTCAGTGGATCTGATCACTCGACCAATGATGTTAATGCTGAGAGCTGGATTTGAACCACAAATTTTCAGATCAGTGGATGAACACCGTACCAACTGAGCTAGAGTATACATATAGTGCTTGTCTTTGGGGACCTCATGAGCAGGGACCCCTGTGTGTTTTGTTTGACGTGGACCAGGAGGCACCTTCACTGTGAGTTGAGGGGAAGTGGCCTCCATGTGCACAGCATAAACTTGGCTCCAATAAATGCGTCCGTTGCCACCTCAACGGACAACAGGAAATCTTTATTTACCAGAAAACATCCCTTTGTTGGGCTCCGGGTATATGACCCTTCTGTTAGACAGCAGAGCAGCGTCTCTTTGGGGCCGCTACATTGCGTTTGTGAACAAAGCTACCATATCCTCAAGATAAACAAAGGTGGCATAAAGTATGGATGTATATGTCCTGCCAGCATCCCCCCTGCGTCAGAACCTCAAACTTAGACCTGTTTTTCAGTGTGTCCTTTGGCATTGTTTATGTTGGAGGCATTGTCTGACCCTCCCATGATAAAGAATGCCAGTGTCTAAACTTAGAAATAGCACTGGAATTCACAGAACATCATAAGTGACAAAAGCAGCACATCCCATTAATTACAAAAACATGTTTCAGCAGACTCCAGACTGATTTATTAACCCAGTCAATGGGCTTTTATTATGTTTCCAGCAACAGATCCTTTTCATTCACAGTGATAGTTCAACACTTCCTTTTCCAGTCAATACTCACATACGTTATGCACATTAGACATTTGTCAACAGCACTGCCGCCATAAGCCGCGTGTGTAGGTACAGAATAAGCATCCATTTTGCGTTACATTTCCAAGCATGTGCAACTATTTCATTAACCGTTTAGTTAAAATTAATACCAATTGATGCATATCCTGTTTCACAGTGCAGCTCACATGGTGTTTCCAATGATAGAGATAACATGAGTGTGTACAGTACAGAGAGTACCTAAAGTCAAGTTTTAATGGCGAGTAACAATATGTGGTTCAGACAGTTCTCGGGTCAAGGTGCATTCTTCTTATAGTTTCTCATAGTTCTCCAGTATCTGCCCTTGTCATTGTCACCAGTGTTAATCCTCTCTGTGCCCTCTGTCCTCCATGCTGTGGGCCTCGTGCGGCTGAGCAGCAGAGCTTCGGACACTGGCCCTGCTGCTGTGCCTCATCCTCTGCTCTGAACCAGTTGGTGACGGTCATGGCGAGTCTCAGCAGACCCAAGCTGATGCAGTGAACCTCTGAGGTGATGGGGATGTCAGAGAACAAGGCGTGGTCCCGGGACAGGAGGCTGCTGCTGCATTCAAAGTCCTTCACAATGTTCAGAATCTCCTGGCGCTCTGCCTGCCGCGTCATACCACGCACGTTTAACAGTGTGGACACATGCTTCTTCCTGTGGAAAGACAGGAGACAGGCTGGATGAGTCAAAGGTGAGGACTCAATGACAAATGCTGGCATTGACTTAACTGTCAGATTTCACATCCACCAGTGATACTATCAGTCAGCAAGAAATCCCCTATCTAAATGTAAATAGAGACGTCTACTACCCAGGGCCAAATATAATTTTGTACAGAATAGTTGCATTAGTAAATGTGTCACACAGGACAAAGGGCTGTCCCTCAGTCATGAATGAGCTTTCTTAATTAACATTCTTTGTACTTCTATGACACCAGAAGGGAATACTCTCCCTCTTTAAATCTGTAATGTGGCACCAGTCTGTCTCCAGTCGGGTGGCAGGAACAGGAAGTACTCGGCAGCAGCTTCCTGTCTGCTCCGTTGAGGCTTTTGCGTCACGGCGGTAGTTTGCCAACTGTCACCTGAGTGTTAACCTGCACACAAACAGCTCCCCTGGAGACCTCATCTATTCTCAAAACACAGCCTCTGAGAGCTCCAAAAATAGCCAGGTTAATGTAGATATGTTTCCGTGTTTCTTTTCCTTGTTTTGATCCATTGTGACAACAGAAAAAAGGAAAACCTCATACATGAATTTCTTGCTTGGCTCTGGGCCAAAAATAGCAGAGCCAATGTGTAGCAGTAAGCATAAATGAATATGGGCCCTTTGGGTATGCACAGAACTGTGTGTTTTTATAGATGCTTCCTGGTGACAACTGAAATCTTTCAAAACAGCTCATGTGTGTAATTAAAGTCTTACCGTATATCTGGAAACTCTTTCACCAAGACCGCCACCTCCACCTGAATGGACGGAGTGTCCTCCAAGAGTATGATGTCTGCCAGGTGACAGAGGATGCTGTCCAACCAAGAAGCAGGGGACTCCTACAGAAAAACACACATGCATGTAAATTAAAAGTTTCAACTAAATTTCATAAACAATTTGCAGATTTTGTTGAACAGACACACAGAATGTACCCTATTGGTAATGGAGCCAAGCACACTCATTAAATAATGCACCTGACAGTGATGTTTAATCTATTTATTCTAAAACTAGAGTGGGAAGAATTCCTGCCTGACTTTGTTGAGGAATTAAAACATTCCAAATGGGATTATACAAATGCTAACTGCAAATTATAGGAAATTAGTTGAATGGACAGGGACAGGAAGTGTCCCATCATGTTCACATTTGAGTCCGTGTATTTTGGGGAGATATTTTTGAAACTTTTAGTCAACTAAGTAGAGTTTTGTTACTGTCAGTTCTTTGCTGCATCTTTCTCCATTTTATAGAGCTCTGGCCTTTGCTAAATTATTGTTTCAGTTTGAGAAGAATGTTTGCTATGGACACTGTTACTTTGCCTCTTTTTTGTGTTTTTGCATGTGCCTTGATCTGCATGTAGGTGCAGGATTTTCTTTCAGTGTGGTTGTATTAAAGAAAATCATTTTTAAATCTATCCATTTTAAAGATAGATTTATAGATTTTATAGATTGAATTAAACATAGTTTGGGGATATGATTAATATGTTACAAATCCACATCCGAGTGTTTTTTCCTAGACCTGTTTTTCCTTACACTCCGGAAAATAAAAACAGAATTCTTGGCTTGGCATTCCCTAAAAATAACACAGTCTTTTTTTTAGAAGGCCATTAAAACCATATCCTTGTTCCCAAGTTGCCAGTTTCCACAGACACTCATGCGGCTCCTGAGTGAAAGAGGACATCAAGGCCAATCCCGAGCCACATCAAAGCGGACCAGCTGACAGGAACAGGAAGTTTCCTCCGAACACAGCCACTTCCTGTTGTCAGCCGAGGTGACGGACATTTGTTTGAACTCGTGCACAGAACCAGGGCAAATGCCACACTGTCCGGCATGGCTTTTCTACACCCACTTCCCCTCTCTGGCTCCCACTAACGTAAGTCCTATCCATCTATCTCCATCTCAATGACAGCAGTCATTTTTCAGGCATCAGCCCTTATCAGCACAGTCTGAATTATTACTAACATAGGATGAAGGGTCAGTCTCACAACTGTACTGAACTGTAGATGAATAAAACAAAAACAGTTTGTCATTGTGTTTCACTCACCAGTGGAGATTGGCAACATTGAGAAAAATTATGTTTTTAGAATTATCCCAGTGACTGTGACAATATATACTGTAAATGTTTTGGTTTAGATAGATAACCCCACAAGTTTGTTTAATTCTAATCTGCTTTTTAACAGGCCAATATTACGCTATTTACTGATCTATATTATAATGTTGTTTCCTCATCAAAAACATACTTGGACTTGTGTTTTGATTCATTCCCACATGTTTAACACAAACCCTGCATATTTTGGCTGAGTTCTCTCAAACAGGAAACACTCTGTAAACCTTCACTAGAATTGGTAATTCCAGGGATGAAATCATACAAATTAGTATGATTTCATCCCTAGAGTTACCCATCTCTACTGAACTAAAGGTAAAAGGTAGATGTTAACTTGAAAACTACCACTACATGACATCACAAGGTATAACAGAGCATTTTGAGCTTTGGAAATGTGCTCAGACATATGTGAATCAAACAAAACGCAACCCCGGGTATGTTTTTGATGAGGAAACAACATTTTAACATGGCTTAAAGCTCACAAGAGTCAATTCTGTCTAATATAGGACCTTTAATTCTAGACAATATAAATAATATTCTCCAAAACAACCATTGAGATAGTATCAGTTTTTCAATATACCTCACACCTCTACTCACCAGATCCTTAAAGAGTCCTTTCAGTTGCTTGGCTTCATCTTGTAAACGAAACGCCATCCTCTTCCTCATCTTGGACGATGTGCAGAAGACCCGTCCTCTCATAATCGCTCGCACATACTCTACCATCACACGACGGTGCACCTCTCCAACCAGCGTCTGCCAGTCAGATCAAACAAATTTAATACATTTAAAATTGAGGTAAACATTATGGGGAAACTGTACATAAAATAAACATCACAATCAAATATAACCTGGTATGGTGGTGGGTCCATTCTTCTGAACTTCTTGAAGTGCTGTTTAATGCAGGCCTCGATGGCTTCAAATGCCTCTGTGTTGTTTAACCACTTTCTTTTTATGAGTTTATCAAAGAAAGGCTGTAACAAGAGCACATATGAGGATGTTAAGAGCATGATTTAACCATCAGTATATATAGGTGGAAGAGAGTCCAGTCACGATAACAGATTTTGGAAAGTGATATACTGATACAGAAAATATCACGATTAATATTGAAAGTACTTTATGCCAAGTCTTAAGGAGGATAATAAAAACAGAAAAATGAAACTCTGGTGGAGGGGTCTGTCACTTGCTTGTCTCATGGAGATGTTATTACTATGATGGGAATGTTTCACAGTTTGCCATCAGTGGAGACATGCAGGTGACCAGTCAGATTTGTGCAGAAGAGACCCGTAAAAATGCTTGTTTTTAAGTAATATGAATGATTGTTACATAAATTTAATGCTTTAGTGTGAAATGTTTCAAGCAAATCAATGGAGACAAACCCCATCGGATAAGTTACGTAGAGCATCTGTAAGTAGGTAGTAGTATCTACAGTATATGGTGTTATAGTCACTTATTCAACCCACTACAGCTCTTATTGTACTATATAAATAACAAAAAAGCACTAACAAATATTGAACCCCAAAAATATTATATAATTTATTGAACAACTGGTTTATAAGTAATAGGCCATACCCTTATGTTATCGAACAGTCTATCAGCCAGGACCCTCACAGACTGGTTGATGATTCTGTCCATGGAGGAGTTTGCTCTCTGGGCTGTTTCCTCACTGCTCTGTGGGTCACACTGCCTGCAGCGCTCCACAAAAGCCCTATGAGGCAAAAACATGTTACCATGATGTGCTAATAAATCTATATTCAAAAAACACAAAGGTAGAAAAACAGTACCTAAGAGGAGGACAGCAGTTGACCAGGGCAATAGTCCTAGACACGTAGCCATCTCCTCTGTCTCCAAACTCTGCCTGAGTGTCATGGAACATCTCCACCTTCCTCTGAAAACTGTAAATATGACATATTTTATTTGTATTTGTATTGTTATTTTGTGGTATCATATGAAGATCCCATAAAGAAAGGGTGCACTGGTTTTATATGATCTTCATGAAGGAGCTCAGAGCATTTTTAGTGCCATTTTCAGTTCCCATTACAAATAAATAACATGTGCAAAACACATTTCATGTGTGCAATATATTACAGAAAAAATGTACTTACTTGTAGAGAAAGTCTGCCAGTCCAATCAGACTACAGCGAGCAACTCTGGCACCCAAAAACTGGTTCACAGAAGTGGATCTGTCTAGGTCCACCTTTAACCTCTGTAAAAATAATGAGATGCTTAGTTTAAACAACTTACATACTACATTATAAATCCATTACTATTACCTGTATGACGGATCGTGCCAGCTGGCACTGATACTCCTCTATGTGCAAAGTCTGGGTCCACCTTCGCTCCTCTTCATCCAAAATGTGGATTAGCTCAGTGGTCACATTGTCCTTGAAATGGCACAAGATGTAAGAACCAAAGCTAATGGGTTTTATGAACAAATAATACAACATTTATACACTATTTTAACAGACAATATTTCACTTACCTTGACAATCTTGAGGCAGTCTTGTTCCAACCTATCCACTGTATCTTGAGACAGAATGGCTTCCAGTGTTGAATAGTTGATAGGTGTTTTTGAACCAATGTATCCTAGCACATCTCTGTTCAAAACAAATTAAAATGCACGTATAAATTAAATACAGTTTCATTGGATTAAAGAGTCCAGTTTCCTACAGTTGCCAGTTTAAGATAAGTACCTGTTGTAGATGTTGTAGAACCAGTCTAGCAGTGAGTACACATCTGTGATTTGCAGTGGTCCACTGGTAATAGTGCGCAGGCGTTTAGCCACTGCTTTATGATAACTCTCCACATAAACCTGGAAAGCAGAAAACTCCTCGGGGTAAATGCCCACAGCATTCCTACGGGCTGCGTCCAAGTCATCCACCATGCGATTGCGCAGACGCTCCAGGTAGTTGGCGAGCTGCCCGGCCGTGGTGTCCATCTGCAGGGGCAGGCTCCAATCAGCTGCCTCCGCCACAGCCTGCCTCCATTTCTGCTTGAAGCGCCTGGGGCGATGGCTTGGCTGAGACTGGAGACTCTCTCGATCTGGTCTGGTCTCATCTCTGAAAGCCCAGGCGGCGTCTGCATGCTCTTCCTGTTGGATCACCAGCACCACCAGGCCCAGGTTGGGGCCAGCGCTGGGCTGACGAAGCGACTCTCGGACCACATCCCACATCTCCTTCTGCAGAGCCTCATACAAGAGCTCCACGTCTTTGGCTTTACGCCGACTGGAGTCCACTGTCGCATTGGAGCTGAGTGAATCCTCCAAAGCCTGTGCTGACAGTGGGAAGAGGCCAGGCGGGGTGCTGGGGCAGGTAGTGGGGGTAAGAGAAGGACTGGAGGAGGCTGGGAGGTGAGACAGAAGCTCACACTCGCGTTCAAGCTCCTGCATGTGAGTGTCAGCCAGTAGCAGATCTCGGTGGTTCACCAACTGTAAAATCTCCAGGACTGAAACAGACAAAGCACAGAATGAGCTGCCTCAGATCACAGAGCTCTTGTTTGTTATTATGATCACTACAGTCGGCATGTGCCTGGCTGACAAACAGAGCTATTTCTTGCTATAGTTGCACACTTCTGTTGTATATATGAAGCTGGGTCCCCTGCGGTGAGTCTAAACAGTAGCTTGGTTCAAAATCTATCTGGGGGAACCTGGGTGGGAGGAAGTGCAGTCATTTCCTGATTTCACAGCCTGGTGGTGATTGAACCCAGTGACTCAGGGATCTTTTAGTCTCATTAGAGTTGTCTAGGAGCAGGAGGAAGCCTTGATTAGGCAAAACAAGGACATTTCCTAAAGCTTGAAATGCCGTGGATCTTTGTGGGATGCTTGGTATGGAAAGATATTGTTTATTACCTGAAAGAGGCTCTCGAGTTTTGACCACGGGCTCCTCCTCCACCGTTTCCTCAGAGCCCTCCTGAGAGCTCTTGTCCGACATGGATTCTCTCTTCAGTTTGCCCAGACTGACTATCCTGAGGAAGGATGGCCGCCTGCACGCCTCCTCTGTGTTTATGCTCAGGTCCCCACAGGGCAGGCTCTCTCTGCGCTCCTCTCTACGCCGCCCCGTAAACCTGGACAGTAAAAAGTAATACAGCTCACTAGGCTGCACAATGTATATCACAAGTGAATCAAAATAGCAGTTTGAGTTGGAGCAATTATCAAATGGCAAAGGCTGGAGTTACTTAGCTAATAAAATGTCCTCTGCAAAGAACAAAACATATTTTAATCTTGTTGAACCTATGGTTTAGACCTCTACAAACATCTTCTGAAATGCATGGAATTATTGTGTGTGGAATTATCAGTTCATATTTCAGTCTTCTCTCAAATGCCAGTACTCCTGGAGTTTTTTTTTTTTTTTTTTACAATATGCACTCTTAACAGAATCCTACCTAAAGCATATATTGCCAATCTAATCTAATAAATTACAATTTTTCACACAACTGTCATATCCTGCCCACAGTTACACGCTTAATTTCTCTTACTTGAGTAATCTCTTTGACATCTACTTTGTACTTCTACTTGAGTAATATTATTTATCATATCAAAGTAACAGTCTTTGATTTGATTTTTTTATTTTTTTTCAGAATCGTATAGTCCCACTGCTCACTACACTTGACCAAACATTTAAGACAATGCATTTAGTACATCCAGAGACTGCGTTGATTAGTGGAATGTTCGGAATGCTGCATATTAAAACATCTGCTAAACCAATGCTGCAGCTAACCACCATGGCTGGCCTAGTTAAAAATAGTCCCATTCAGTTCAGTACAAAACAAGCCACAAGCAACAAAAGCTGTTCCGAAGATAAACAAGTGGTTATGGTGTATTACATAAGTTCACAGGAAATAAGCACAATAAAGTAGAATATATGCAACAAGTGATTTTGTTACGTCAAGGGAATATATAGTTTTAACATGACTCGTACTGTGTCCCACGGTATGGTCTGTATTCATTAGGCTATTGTGTAATTGTATTTAACTTTAATCCTTTCTTTGTTAAAACAATTTTGTTGCATAGTGATTTTATATTATTGGGATTTTTTTAACCATTGCTTAAAGTACTTCTGCATTGTCATCACCATGTAGTATTGTATGAAGAGAAGCAAAATTAAATCTTTTTTTTTTTTTTTTCGGTAGGCTTAATTGATGATTGTTTAGTGTGTTTTGTAATCATTTTAACTAACTGGTTGAATTTATTTAGTTTTCTCTGCTGTACTCTGAGACTCCTTGGAATGAAAACTGTTATAAATGGAAAAAAAATCCATTATAATTATTATTATTAGTACATTAGTAGCATTGTGTTTTGTGGTGATATTACTTACTACACATTTAAGCATCTAATCTGTCCTCACCGTAACAGTGTCATAATCTTCCCTTCGGAGCTTCGTCGGACCCCCTTCCTCTTCTCCCTCTCGGTGGGCAGAGTGTTTGAATCCCCCGGGCTGTACTGGGCTGTGTTGGTGTTCCACACATTACGCCCTGATATCCGAAGCCCCTTGCCCAGTTTCCCCAACGTTTTGAGGGGGGACACTCCACAGATCCTCTCCAGCGTTCCCTTCAGAGGCTTGGATTTGGGGTTACCTGCTCCATGTCGCTCTGTGTTCACCTCATTCTCCTCCTCCTCCCCATCACGTCTAGGTTTGAACTGGTGGTCTCCCATGATAAGGCCCATGTCGGCGTTTTTGTCGTCTTCGTCCAAATCAATGTCTTCGAAAGGGTTTAAGTTCTTGTTCAGATCTTTTAAGTCGTTGAAATCTTTGAGGTCGTTCAGATCATTCAAGTCTCTCCAGTCCAAGTCCAGCCTGGGCAGAATCAGCTCTCCGTTTACTCGTGGAAATTCATGGCAGCTTTTGGACCTCCCTGGGAGCTTTTTCAGAATGGGCATACTTGCAAATACAATTTCAACAATCTGGAAAAAAAAGACAATAGAACAGAGGTGGATAAAACTCAGTTACATTTACTTCTACCAGTGACAAAAGCTTTATGCTAATAATATGAAATTATTTGAACATATTGTGTTGCATCGCACCTTCAGATATTATTGATTTTTTTTGTGTCTATCCTTTGAAAATGCCAGATTTTGGGTATTATTAAATGGTTTGTCCTTCCAATTACATAAACTTCAGATTATAAATCAGATGTCACATCCTGACAGTTACGCTATAAGTTTTACTTGAGTAATCTCTTTGTACTTAAATAACAGTATTCTGAAGTAATGTTACTCATATGTGAGTACAAGTTTTGTCTAGTCTACTAACATAAAAATTTGTATTGTTAAAGTGGCGTGTGTTAAAGTGTTTATCCGGCTGTCAGACAGTTTATTCAAGTCAATTCAAAACATCCTTTCCCTTTGTGCTTATATAAGGTACTTCAGTTTGCAAATAGGAAACCTCTATTCAAAATATTGGCCCATTTACACGTGCCCAACTTACAACCTTTTATAAATATTGTACCATGAAAAAACAAATCATTTCAACCTTCAAGTCAGCTTCAGAAATAATGATGACTGAAGGGTCAAAGTGTAAATGGGAGGGAGATCTAAATGCCATGTCAAATTGTTCGAGAATTTTGTTAAACAATATTGAATTGTTCTTGGCATTTTAGTAGGAAAAACTCAGATATCATTCTAAACTACACTACAATAAAGCCTTATCACAATCAGTGACATTACATTGTCAGTAGAAGATATTTTCATAAGATTGTGCAACAAAAATGTTGCACAGGTAAGGATTCTTTCAACTGGTCAGGAATTTCAGAATTTTTATGACTTTTCCCCTTTTTTCTTCATGGAGAAAACTTTTGTCCAGTTGACAGAATAAAATTTTCTCCAAGACAAAATAAAAAAATAAAATAAAAAGCCTAAATATATGTTAAATTGAATAAACTGAGATAAGGGTAATCAATTGTACAGTTTTGAATTTCAATAATATTAGATTTAAATAAAAGAAAACCTTTTTTCACAAACTCAGCAGCAGAGTTATTGATGATATGGCTTGAGGATCAATATCATTTAAAAATATCCAAAGAACAGAAAAACACCTGTCTCTTGCTAACTTTTTTGCTACTTTATAATTTATTTATTATTACCACTTTTATTTTTTACTCTTTATTATTATAATATATTGTGATGATTGACCTGTGTTCAAATAATTTCTCTTGTGGATCAATAAAGTCTGTCTAAGTCTAAACCTAAATCTAATCCAGTGTAGACCTTGAAAATCTGGCATTTCAGTAAATGTATAAGAAAATTTGGAATAAACTGAACCTGGACTAAACCTGGACTAAACTAGGCCTAAAATAGGACCAAACGGTGGATTCACACTTTTCATGATTTAGTCCTGACTAGATCCCAGTGAAGTCCTGGGAGCACATAAGTCGTACCTGTTAATGTTGTGGTTCTCAGCTCTGGTTCATCCTGGACTGTGCCTTCTCGAGCGCCGTGGACCGCGTGTGCCTCTGACCGCTGTCTCCAAGTGTCTGAGCCCGAAAGCGCGTGGGCTTCCTGTGGCTTCCTGATGAGCGGTGCTGTGGTGGAAGGAAAGGCCCGTCCCGCTCCCTCTGCCTCCTCCCACGCCACTGTCCCCCTCCTCCGCCCCGGGACCGGACTAATTACAAAACATTACCTGTACATTAAAGAACACATTGTATAGTGGGGCTGTTTGACGCGTCACGCTCACATCCTTGAATCTTTGATAACACTTAAGCTTAAAAAAATATGACCAAAGATGTACTTAATAACGAGCATATAGCTGAAAAGAATCATTCTGGCTTGCTTGATTAATAAATTAAGTAAGACCTTAATCCTAACTAGTAGGGATGTAACAATAACCGAAATATCGTAATATCGTATCATCAAAGTTCTCACAATTATATCGTGGACCATCACAATATATCGAATTACAAGTCTCTTTGCTTAAATTCATTGTTATGGTGCAGAAATAGCTAAAAAAAGACAGAGGGAACTACATAGACCATGATCCTTTGCTCCATTTCAGTGCAAACTACAAGAAGAAATAACAGTTCTAAGCACTTTTAAGTCTTAGTTCTTTGGATTATGTCTTGTCAAGGCATTTTAAGAGGAAAAAGTAGCATATTAACAGTCTTGTTAGCCTCCTCAAAATATCGCAATAAATATATCACCGTGAGATGTATACCGTGAAAATATCTTACGGAGAGATTTGGATATTGTTACATCCCTAATCGTGAGCCTCCCCGCCATACCATGAGCTTTCCCATGATATCGCAATAAATATTGTACCGTGAGATTCATACTGAGACAATATCGTATTGTGAGACTTGGATATCGTTACACCCTACTAAATACTCACTTAAAGGGCCCATATTAGGATATTTTTTGATCCATGTAATAATCAAAACCAATCAAAAACATAGCTAGAGTTGTGTTTTGTTTCATGTTTAACATAAAAATCCCAAAAATCATAAACATGTGGTAATACAGGAAGTGCTCCACTGTGCTTTTAAACTCCATACACCTTTACTAGAATCATTTGGATGAGTTCAATTCTGATATTGTTCATCTCTAATTGAACAAAAGTAAAATGTAGCTGTTAACTTGAAAACTACCACTACATGACATCACAAGGTGGAACAGTGCATTTTGAGCTTTGGGGATTTAAGCAGGCTAATAGTAAAGGGTTACTCAAACATGTGTAAATGAAACAAAATACAAGCCCAGGGATTTTTTTTAAGAGGCAACAACATTCTAACATGGCTTAAAGCTCAAAATGATCAGTTGTGAGTAATAAAGGACTTTAAAGTAAACCTAAATCATGCTCAATAAACTATCTGTAGTTTGGACGAGATATTTGGATTTGGAGTTTGGACATTACCTGCATGATTCCATGGAAATAGAAAGGTCAGATCATATTTCCCTAACATTCCCAGTGGAAATAGATACGTTTTATGCCTGTGGAAGATTATAACCAAACATTTCCATAAAAAACCTCCACAGGAGGAGGCCAATAAGAGAGGTTAGAGCGGATGGAAGCTCGCTCAGAATAAAGGATGTTTTTCAGTGTGATAAACCAAACTGAAAGTAAATAATATCCTTATCGTTTATTGTTTTTTTTCAATATCATCAATTATTTTTTGGCTAAATTGTTACATACCATGGTTTTAAATAGTTACTAAGCCTGAATTATTCTTAGTACGGTAAACTATTTTTAAATTATTAATCAACTCTTTGTTCATGCTTTATAAAGGCTTATTAAAGGTTGTATAGAGGATTTTTTAAGGGAAGAGAGACAGTCCTTTTTCAAATGTTGTGCATGCGTGACACCACCTTCCTCCTCCACAGCTCCCTCAGTAGAAACATCTCTTCCTGCCTCTTTACTCTAGAAATCACATTGTTTACAGCCAGTGCGCGTTCAGAATTACTGTTGAAATTTCCTGTCTAGAAATAATTTGGTGACCAACGCGTCAGTTTTTAGACCCTTTGTCTGCTTCGGTCGCGCCATCCCTGGAAGGAATCTCCAAGAATCACCTCAGTTTGGCTTTGCTCCTTTTCCCCTTCTCCCCCTCTCTTATTCTTTCAGCGACCTCAGAAACTGACTTTCTTTTGCGGTGAATTGGTCGTGGATTCTCGTCCGCTATCTCAACAAATTTTGTGCGAACTGCAAGGAAGCAACAGTTTGAAAAAGCCTCTAAGAACCGCTGCATAAACCACGTAATCCCCGCGCGCCAACGAGTCAGTTACACTAGAAACATAGGGAGTTCGAGTGACAACCTAACAGCCAATAGAAAATGAGGTAGCCTTGTTATCTATTGGCTGATGTTTATCTGGCCTCACTACATCCACAGTTGATAGATTTTCATTCTTTTTTTTTTTTTTTTTGGTCATCATAATTACAAAGCTGCTGCATCTCTGTAATGGTAATTTAAACTTTCACTGACAATTTGAAAAAAAACAAAAAACATCCTCCATACAACCTTTAAAGTGCAGTTATTATAAAGTGGTGTCAAAATGGCCTGATGGTGTCTCCTGCTTGTCTCTATAGACCAGGGGTGTCAAACTCAAATTCACAGAGGGCCAAAATTAAAAACTGGGACTAAGTCGTGGGCCAAACTAAATATTTATTGTAAAATTTCAACCAGATCTGCATGTTTTCTCTTCTTTCGAGATATGTAATGTTAAACCTTTCTTATTAAAATAGATGTTTAATAATAGTTTTGCTTAAACACTGAATCCAGAACAAGCATAATATAAAATAATAACAAAATGTTAAATAAATAATGTCCCTATTCAGCTCTAATGCATATATGATATGATCCCGCGGGCCAAATATAATTATATTATATAGAGAGGTTGGTTAATTTAAAGCTATACTGTGAGATATTCCAGGCAAAGCTATAAAATCTCCATTGAGACAAGCAACTGGCAGGCCCACTACCAGAAAAGTTCCGTAGTGCACCTTTAAGGCGCCATGGCCTTGAATCAAAATGCCATTCATCTTTCAGTCCTCAGCGGAAGTCTTTAAGTGGACACTGCTGCTGGTCCTATAGCTGGCTTTATTACAGCCTGTCAAGGTCAGTGTGGCCAAGGCAGGAATCTACTGTCACATAAAGTACACATAGAATACAATGGGCACATCATGAGAGGGATGTACCTGCCTCAGAGATGTGTTGTGTCCAGAGGAAAAGTGAAGGCTCCTCACGAGGTCCTGCTCTGCCCCCTTGTGTTCACAGAAGAAAACTGCATCATGTTGTATGCCAACAAAATAAATATGAACATGAAAAACAACACATTTAAATAATTCAGTAACAGAAGGTCCATTGAGGCCATTGAGAAGTTATTTTCTGCCTGGAATGTTCCACATATTAAACTTACCTATGTATCTTGTATTTATTAAACTACAGAGGTTTTTAAATACACATGCACTGTTATAGTGAATGGGGTCACTTCTCCACAGATCTGACCTGTAACTTGGCCTGGTGCAGTGATTTGTATGGAATATAGGACCCTCCCCCAAACAAGTTACATAGTGTAACCTACCTTTAAATAGCAGCATTTACTAGTAACCATTGCAAATACACAAAAGATTAAATTAAATCAGTTCTTCACTATCCAGGCTAGTGTGTTGTTATACCCTTAGATATTTTTCCCATTAGGATCAATAACCCAATGCATGTACGATGTAGAACCATAATTAGACACGCTGAACTCAGGGACAAGAGCCTTCCGGTTCTAGGCCTGACATGATAATTACTATATCAACTTATGGTTCAATATATGAAGCTAGAACAATATTTTTGGAGTCAATATTTATCATTACTGGCACTTCTGTGAAATGTTTGGCTATGTTTTAGCTATATGATCAGATTTAAGCTGTAAAAGTTTGAATTAATGACCTATATTACAACTAAAATGCAGACTAAATACTGAACTAGTCCATTCTGCTGTTTATTTATCATGAAGCTCATGTTTTTTACTCATATTGTAGATTTAGTTTTGTGGTTTAAATCTGCTCTTGGGTTCAGTATTATCATTTATCATCTATATATTCTTCAACAATATATCACACTTTTTTCACAAATTTGTTATCATTACAGGGCTACATAGTTCACCCCTCTGTGTCTGAACTGTTTGCTGTTCAGAAACATTCAGCATTTAACAGAAACATCACATGTACATTTCTGGTGGAGTCTGGACTGCATGTGTCAAATTTCTTTACCTGTCAGTTGCTACTTGGCTTAGATTAGTTCACACAATCTTTCATCCAGATCTTTCTTACATATTTGACTGCATGCCACTAAGCAGAACAAAACAGCAATATAGTGTTAAGACTGTGAAAAATAGAGAAAATTACTTTACTACTTAAATTACTTTAATTACTTTTTACAGACTGAAAATAAACATAGGCCTAATTCTGTTAGTAAAAATCAATGTCTATAAACTATAACTAAATAAAACAATTCAGGGTTACACAATCTTATTAAAGTTATTAATACTAGGGAGCATGTTCACGGTTGCATGCTTGGTCAAAAGGTCAAATGTATCTGTATAGTACAAATCAATTCATCTTGCTTACAAGGAAGATCTACACTTAAACTTGTGCTTGCCAATATCTTTCATAATAAATTAATTTTTGTGGTTGCTAATTGCTAATTGATTGCAGAAATGGCACAAAGCATAAAATTGTGGTTAATCTGCAGTATATTTTAAGATGATTATTTTCTGGGATATTTCATTTACAAAGGCTTGTCAAGTTGTCACAGACTACACAGACTATACATGTATTATGCAGGGGCAGCTCCAGCTCGGAGGGGCTGGGGGGGTCTTCCATGGGGGGGCTCACATATGACATTTAGAGCCTTTTAATGGTGGAACATGTTTTTGATTAGGGAATGTTATAACATGATAGACAGCTTTAAAAATGTTGTACAATCCCCCCTTCTAATGGAAACCATGAATTATTTGTTTATACATTTTTATTTAGTAATGCCTCTGTCTTCATCAGGAAACATCTTTTAACATGCATTTTACAGTCTGTATAAGCCAGATAACAATGATCAGTCAACAATTATATAAAATTAATAATTTCAGCCCTATTTTGAACACTAACTGTATGCCATTTGAATATTTTTAGTTGAGATTGGATGCCCCATGAAAAAGAAGCAAAAATATTTGGGGTTAATATGGAGGTACATTGGTCACACAAGAGGGGACTGTCACAGCACAACCCTCCTGAGCCACCCCTGTTATGAAAGCTAAAATAAATACATGTTCAATTAAGACTGTGTGTAAGTCCAGAGGGGGTCCTCAGTGCGTGATTGAGTCCTAAAGGGTCTTGTTGGGGCCCCGTTGATGGGGGTGGTTGAAGTGGTACGGCTCGTGGCGATAGTGGCCGTGGGAGATGACTGGATGCTCGATGCCGAGAGTCTGCAACTCCTCCTGTTTGTGCATCCCCTCCAGTTTCTCCACCAGCTCTCTGATGAAGCTCTGAAAGATAAAACTCAAGTCAGAATGCAGGTCATGTTCAGTGTATTATATTGTGTGTGGAAAAGATATTATTACATGTATTATATGTATTTGTTTAATGTGGACATAACAATTACATGGGCCATTACATGCCCATAAAAGGCTTTTAGGGCAGTTCAAAATAGTACACAAAATTGCAATTAGCTTAAAGTTATAGCAGGTAACTTTCTGGAGATGGAAAGTCAACTGAATGATTCCATGAAAAAAAAACAACTTTAAAACCACATTTTGGAACATTCTCAACGAAGATAAGAGTCAAAAGAGCAACATTTGCATGGAAACAAGCAGGAGGAGGCCCTCCTCCAGGCCAAATAAAGTCCAGTTTATCAGCCTCATCAAAACAGTTTTCAGCTCAATAAAAACATCCAAAATAAAACAAAACAAAACATGTTTTTCATGTATATTTTTTTGGCAAAAAGGTACATACTACAGTGACAGTGGCTCAGTGGTCAGGGCAGTGGATCCCCAATCTGAAGTGCAGAGGAATGATTCCACCATATGAACGTGGTGTGTGTGAGTGACTGATGGTAGAGATTGGCAGCATCACTTTTGTGAGTCTGCCCCAGGGCATATATTCATATATTTGGGTGTGTGTGTGTGTGTATATTTTCATACTATATTATCTTAAACTATGTCTTCAAATGTACTGGTTGAGGTTTATATATTGGACAAATGTGAAATTTCTCACAAAAGTGCAGAAATATAAATTGTTATTTGGAAGTTTATTTGTTCTGTGAACGCACCCTAATACAAGTCGAATATATCAATATGCAAATAAATTTGCATAAATTTCCTTGAGGAAAGCCCCTGAGCGAGCCTTAAAGATACAGTAGTGAATGGATTGGAGTAGTGCAGACACACCCTGCTGATTTGCTTATATTTGCATCTTTGAACAGAGAGAAAGTGAAGACGTCCAGAAAGACTTGTTGTTTTAGAGATCAAATAGGAAGAAAAGGAGAAAAGAGCACAGAACGCCATTGTTATGGAGTGATAGTGGAAAGAATGCCAATGTCACCAAGCAGGAAATGCAACACACATACCTCTGTGTTCTTAGGGCATTTTTGGAAAACTTCCTGTAAAAAAAAAAAATAGACTTTAAATTAGATTATTGTAAATGTGGTCACAATATTATAACAGTTAAACAAATACCTGTAATTTCTTTACTCTTTCTTCATCATTTGGCATCTCGATAAGTTCATCAATGTTAACCTCCTCTGGCATATCACTCTCCTGGTGAACAGAAAAAATAGGACAACAAATATGAATATGCAGGCATCTTGTTTGCTGAGAAAGCTGCTAAACACTGGAACAATGGCAGTAGTAATGTTCATGTACTCTACAGTGGAACAGAGGTCGCTCAGTGTGAACAAATAGCTTTTGTACCGTCCCATCTTCACAGGCACATTCTGTTGGAGCTGGAATCAGGCCAGGACCAAGGCACAGTCAGGGAGGGCATTGGCTATTACTACAGTTCAGACTCAAATATAATTACCATGTTGTAGATGGATTGTCAGATTCAATTATAAAATTTTTGTTCTTTTTTTTGGTTTTGTTTTCTTTAACCACAGTCAGGAAAGTGCTAAAATATTTCAGAGTAGGGCTGGGCAATTAATAAAATTTTAATAGAGATTGAGATTCAGTTATGTCTCATCGTCAATGAAGCGGTCTACAGTCCATCCTCTGTCAGTAAATGCATGTGGTTTGGAGCACAGCACAGCAAAAGAAATGTGTGTATTATTGATCTTAAATAGCAATTTGTTATTGTTTATGCTCATAAAATCAATATTGAAAGCTGAATGATCAATAATCTCACCCTGCCCTATTTCTTTGTATTAGCTTTGCTTTTATAATTTGCCAACCGATTTCTCACTGTGGCTATACTGACTTCATTTATCCCAAGTGTAAACAACATTCTTGACTTCAACAACATTTCAGCTTCACTCCCATCATTTCCTTCTTGGTATGAAATACAGGGCGATGCCTTCTGCTTCTGCTGGCTGTGACTGCAGATGTAGCATTGTTTACCTCTGGGGACCTACAGAGCTTTCGTTTTTCTCATAACTCATTCATTACAACGGCTACGACACTGTCCATGTATGGCAGTGAGAAAGGGACAGACATAGATCTCTTAAACACATGGAAGATAAGGAGGTGGCCATTTAAGGATAGGCAGGCGGGCCCATATCTCTTTTTCTAAACTCATCACACATCATTTTGGTTTATGATACTAAAATTCACTAGAGAGATATTATGTGCAAATCATGTATTGTTTTGGTGTTAAACAATGTTGTTTGTTTTGAAATAGGCCCAAGATTTATTACTCTGTTCACTCCAAATATGATCTCATATTAGAAGTGTCAACTATATAAGCCTATTCTGTGAAGTTTCATACTGTTTCTATAATTTTTGTACATATCTATTCATCTATAAATTGCAATGTGAAAAAATTTAGCCTAGGATACAGAACTTAACAAACTTTGAATTTCATTAATATTAGCCCAGTCTCTGCTAAACACATTGCACATCACGTGGGTCCTTTTGGCATGTCAGATAATATTGATAATCACTATAGAGACAAATTCTTGGTATTGTTAATGTGTATTTTGCACTAGGCCTAACCAAGCATGACCTGTCACTGTGTTCACTCCAAATATGTTCTCATATTTCAAGCAAAAAGTACTGAGAATAGATTTAGGCCATAGATAAGATTAATAGCCTTATTTTATGAAGTTTATATATACTTTTTGAGCATGCCCAGTCTAAAAATATATCTTTAAACATGTAAAAAGGAAAAGTAATGTAATAAAATAAAATAAAACAATAAAAAAGTAGACACATTAACTAATTCCAACTTTTACTGGCTCGCCCTTAAGCTGTTGGCCAAAATTCTTTAAAACAATGTTATGTGCATCGACCTCTCACCTGTCCAGAGTACAGCTGGTCTAGACACTCGTCGATCCACTTCTCCACGTCCAGTCTCCTCTGCAGCTCTTTTCGGTTGTACTTGACCGTAACCCGCGCGTGTCTCTTGGGTATGTTGCCTCCATGCAGCTCGTCAAACTCCGGGTCAAACTCCGGAGCCTGGTCGCCGCCTGTTCCGTGGTCCAGAGGGGGACTCCCACACCGGTCTGCGGCCATGCTGTGTCTGTGTCTGCGCTGGTCTGACAGGATCCTCCACTCCGGGTGCACGAAGGAGGGAGGGAGACACACACTACTCTAGTCTGCACCATGGACCTGCACTGATTTCACGTGGGCTCTGTGAACATGGAACCAACCTAAGTGGAATTGGAGTAAGTGAAATTAAATCACTAAATTGGAACTTATGAATCTTATTTATTTATTTATTTTCAGAATGAAGCTGCGATGTGTGCAAAACTTTTTTCCTGATTAGGATATAATCTCCATCCACATGGGGGCAGTGGTGCGACATAATGTGGTAAGGCACGTGCTTCTATTGCTGCTTTGTGGGACGAGTAGGCCACCCTGAATCTAACCAAATATATAGTATTGTTTCTCTAGTTGGATATTACTGAAAGTGCTCTGACCTATAAATCATCTTTAGTTAAATAATTTTACTCATTTTGTGTGAATTTTTGGTATCTTCAACATAAACCCATTTGTCGGAGCCAGTTTATATTTACTTAAGAAATTATTAATTTGATGAATTAATGTATTAATAAAATACACTTTTCTTTATTATTTAAAAAAAATGTATTTGAGGTCATTCTGATCTCTATCCCCCAACCCCCCTTCTCCAATCAAGTGTATCTAGACACCTGTAGCAGCAGGGCGGGGGAAGCAGTGTCAGCATCTAGGGAGGAGAGATACTATTTTATGACCACTAAAAATCTATTGAAAATATAATATTTTTGTTTTTTAAAATTAAGTTGATAAAGGCAAATACTGGATCTCTGCGAGTGCTTATTTTTTCTTATGTGAGTTACAAAGCTCCTCAAGCAAAAGGGCACAACACCATTTGAGCTCAACAAGAGCTATAATACAATGCTTTGCTGCTTTGATAGGCTCATTGTCATAATCTTCTCTGAAAATGCTTTTTTCCATGGAGATCGTATTGCTTGCCTGGAATGTTCCACTGTATGCCATTCATTTTTCTTTCATTTATTAAATTACACATTTGAAGGAAAGCAATAACTTTTCCATGGAGACAAGCTGGTGGCCGATACTTAAATGTCCTATATTGTGCAAAATTGATACTTGTGAACTTAAAGACATGTTAGAATTTTGCTACCTCATCAAAAACATACCTGGAGTTGTGTTTTGTTTCATTCAGTCATGTATTTGTCTGTATCTCCAAAGCTCAAAATGCTGTGTTCCACCTTTGTTCAGTAGAGATTGGCAATTCCAGGTCTGAAATCATCCAAATGATCCTAGTGAAAGTGTATGTAGTTTAAATGCACAGTGGAGCACTTCCTGTATTACTACATTACATCACAAGGTGAAATAGAGTGTTTTCTGTTTGTGTTAAAGATATGTGAATGTAACAAAACACAACTTCAGATGTTTGTGATGAGGAAACAACATTATAACATAGATCAGAAAAAGTGTAATGTGGGCCCTTTAAAGAAAGGCCCATCTAGTCAAAACAATTGATTACTCCTAAGTTATCAAATAAACCTTTTTATTCAACATCACTCACAACCACAACATGACAAACCAAAACATGAAAATATTTAACTCAACACAAACTTTGGCATAAACACAAAATGGCACAAAAGCAAGCACCAACATCAGCAGTATATAAATATAAATATAATGTTACAAAATGGCTGACTAGAGTGATAAAGCACATTTCCTCATATCCCTGCCTTCGACATCTTTGGGATATTTCAGCCTGGGCAGTCCCATTACATGGAGCGTTGGTCAGCATTCAGCATCATATAAATAAATCTCTACATATGTGACAATCATTGTGAAGCCATAAACTAAACTTTTGAATAAATAAATAATAGAATAAAAAAATGATGGTACGCACAAAGCAAGATTGAAAAGCAACTCAAAAGTACTGTGTCAAATCAAAAGAAAACAAAGTGAACTGAACAAAGATAATAACCCAATAAAAAACACATGTTTTGGGCATGTCGGGCGTGTTCACCAAAACCAGAGTTTGTGACTTCAGCAGTTTGGTGTGTTTTTTTGTAGGTCCATAGAAAAGTGTATTGTTTCTCTCTTTGGATATTACTGGAAGAGCTCTGGCCCATAAAACATCTTTAGTTCAATATTTTGCTCATTCTGCTTACATTTTTATTGGTATACTATCTTCAGCATAAGCCCATTTGAGCTCATGAGCATGTCCCTCTCTTCACCGCATATGAAGACAAGGAGCAACAAGTGCTATAATACATCTATACAGATATCCCTGTTGTCCCAGTCGTTCATCGTAGTCCTGGCGCAGACTCGTCCCTCCACATAAAGTCCTGCCTCTCTCCTCTGGACAGGCTGCTCTCCACAGGGCCAGACCTGTATCCGGGTCTGCCATCTGGGCACAAGCTGAGGCTGAGTCGGGCTGTGCTGTTACTGATCTTAAACAAACCATTGGGTCCCAGAAAAGCATCTCTCTCACTACTCTGGTTATTGGCAGTCTCAAAGTCATTGTAAACTGCGATATCGCTCAGTGGTTTCCTTCCATGGAGTCTTCGACGCCTTCTCAAGAAGATGATGCCAACCACCAGCACAAGAACCAGGACAGATAGGATACAGGAGACGGTGACGGTGGCAGAGGAGGGCTGGGAGGTTTGCAGAAGGGCTGGTTTGAATGGTGGTTGTAGGGTAAACTCGCAGCTTGGACCCATGAAGCCTTTTGGGCACTGGCACACAGGTCCAGAGAAGTGGGTGAAGCAGGTCCCTCCATTCTGACATGGCCGCTCCCCACAAGCGTCAGAGCGGACACTGCAGTTCTTGCCTGTGTAGCCCAGTGTGCAGGAGCAGGTGTAGTCGTTCACACCATCCTGGCATGTGCCTGCATTTTGGCACGGGTTGGAGGCACAGTCATCAATGTTCACCTGACAGTTGGCACCGGTGAAACCAGCCTGGCAACGGCACAAAATGCTCTGGCCCAGATCCAAGCACTCACCTCCTGAAAACATAAAGAACAGTCTTTTTAGCACCAGACACACACTGAGAACTGATATTCAGTGCTGTAATTGTCAGCATCAGCCACCAGAGGTCGCTAAAGGCACTCACCGTTCATGCAGGGCTTGTTGCTGCAGCGGTCTAACTTCTTCTCACAGTTGGAGCCGGTGTAGCTGTTGGGACAGCTGCAGGTGTATCCTCCGGTCATAGTCTCCACACAGGTGCCTCCATTAAAACAAGGACCATCTGCACAGGTCATTGCAATGATCTCACAGTTTTTACCATAGAAACCTTGAGGGCAGGTACAAGAATAATCATTCTCCAGATCCTGTGAAAAATAAAACAAAACAATATTATAGTATTAAGTATTAAGATGTGAATGGTTGCAAAAATATTTTGAAGTCAGTTTAATTTAGTCCCAAATGAGATAACTGCACTTACATTGCAGCTGCCTCCATTCTTGCAGGGGTTGCTGTCACACTCGTTGGTCTCCAGCTCACAGTTGGTGCCTCCGTATCCAGGGCGACAGGTGCAGGTGTAGCTGCCCTGCCCTGTGTTGGTGCAGGTGGCTCCATTGGCACAGGGCTTGTGGTTTGTGCAGTAGTTGAGGTCCTGGTCACAGAAGAGTCCTCCCCATCCCTCCTGACAGTTGCACTGCCAAGGCTGGCTGCAGGTCCCGTGCAGACATCCCGGGTAGCGCACACACTCGGTGCAGGAGGGGCCCTGCCAGCCCATGCGACATGTACAACCCCCAGGGGCCTCGCAGTAGCCGTTCTTCTCACTGCAGTCCGCTGAGCAGATGGCTGAAGAAAAGAGGGAGGGGGGGTGTGTGATTACAATGGGCACGCCTTCTCAAACACTGGAGTAGGCCCCTGCCTGACCCCTCCCCAGCCCAGACTTCACTGTTGGTTAAGCATTAAGCCAAGCAGCTGGTAGACACACCGCCCAAGGAAAGCGCTTTCTTCTTTTATCTCCCCCATCGCACATACACACACACACAAGCGTACACACAAGCGTACACAAACATCACCTTGAAATATGTGCGTCTAATGAGGTCCCGCTCTTTCTCTCATTGTAACAGAGGACAAAAGGCAGATGGGACACACAGACTCTGCTGCCTCATCCTAATGGACATTACTTTGGGGTGTCACAAAGATAAAGGATAGACTTTATGTGGTGTGAATAGACTTCTAGCCAATCTGCCCACTTCAAATAATCCTTGTCATTAGCTACAGACAGGAGCTGTGATAAAACGTTTTCATGCATGCCTTCACCCCAATGAGCTGAACTTTGTACTAGTGCTCTTTTTAATTAAGTTTAAGCTGATTGAGTTTTCTTTTCAATATATGATGTTTTCTGTGATTTTGCTTTTGTTTTAGTTTTAAGGCACTACTTATAACATGTCCAATTTAAAAATGTTTTGGAAGCGTTTTAATCTCCATAACTTTGAAACATTAGAGGTTACAATTTGTCCCCTTAGAATTATAGGGTTCTGTTTGCATTCTGAGTAATTCTGAGGTAATGATGTTTAAAGTTTTGACCACTCATATGATGCAATGGATTCTGGAAATTGGGTTTTGCTCATATAAACCTAAAACAAATGACAAAATCTACCAAAAACGTATACAGAAATTTCAACAAAACCATTTGATAGGACCTTATAATAATATAGTTTACTTTCAAACTAATGATTCACACTTACGTTCAGAGCAGTAGTTTCCTTTCCATCCCTCCAGACAGATGCGGTTGCCCTCTTTGTCACAGTTGTAGTGGCCCAGAGTATCATCCCGGGGTCTGCAGTAGTCAGCACAGCCATCCCCAAAGTAGTACTCATCACAAAACACGTGGTAGGAGTAACGGAGCTCACTCTGCTCCCCGAAGTGCACATCTTGGGACCAGTCCTCTCCGATGGCCAGTCTTCTCCTGGTGGCAAGACGGCTCACCAAATTGTTCTGGTTTTCTAGATATTGCAATAAAAAGATTTGTCAATGCATAATTCTATATCTTTAGTAGAATACAGTCAAAACATAAGTGGATAACCATACCTGTGTATTCAGTCTGAGATTCTGCATTCCAAGCTTCAATAATCAGTGAAAAAGTTCCCTATAATCAAATATATATATATAATTACTTATTATAATTCAATAACTGTATAAGGTATGTCAACATGGCACCGTATAACAGGACGCATGATGGACACAGAATCGATTCCCAATCCATAATGCTGTTATAGTTTACTTACCGGCCACTTGAAATGAAAAGGCACTCTGATTGGTGCGCTGCTGGAGATGGATGTGTGGTCAGCCCGGATGACATTGGTGTGTCCGGTGCCAAAGGTGCATGGAGGCTCAGCGGAGATCACATCTTCTGGGTGTTTCAGGCAGATTCTGAAGAAAATGTGGCAGTCCCTGTGCTTTCTGCAGATGCGGTGCGCAGTGTGGAATGAGTGGATCTTGAGCTCGAAAACTCCAGAAGACAAAACCTGTAACAAAATTGTTAATTGTATTATAAATCATGTATCTCGTGCGTAATTGCGCGTAAAACTGTGTGTAATAGTTAACTTTACAACTTAACATTCAGTACAGATTCTTATTGTACTTACGGTGTTGACCAGCACAAGAGCCAAAAAGTATCTCAAATAAAGATGAGCCATTTTTTCAAAGTTCGTTGCTATTAAGTTAGATGATAGTCCGCATTCGTTACGTTTAGGTCCTCAAGTGAAAGAGAAAAAAAAAGTGCTTTCAAGTTTTCAAAAACACTTAATCCCAAAAAAGTATAAAATCCTCGTGGTTGTTTCTGTGAGTACTTTCTTCTCCTCCTTCCTTCTTCTGCCCCTTCCTATCAGCACTTGTCTTGTTTGTGTTCTGCTCAGCGAGGATGTGGAGGGTTTTTATACCCAAGCCGCAGCGTCATTGGCACGAGGCGGGGCACGGGCACACCTCAGGGGACCAGGCTGCTGACACATGGGGGTCTTGCCTGGAGGTTTGCACAGCCCACTCTACATCTGGACATGAGCCACATTGGAATATGCATTAGAAGCTGGCGCAAGGCAGATATGTTTAACCTTATCGCATGAATTTTAATCACCCAGAAAATGTGCTGATGGAGGATGGTGTGTCATGGTTTTGGCAACTATCCCGAAAATGTAACAAAAACTATTGTTTCTGTTTTCGTTGTTTTCTGTATAAAAACATTTTGAAAGTCCATTTATCTTCAGACTTATTTAATATCGCGCCATAATGCCAAAGCGAATTTCTAGTTTGTGAATTTTTGGCAACAAAACCTGTTCTGATAATTATTATTATTATTATTATTATTTTTGTATTGTGGCGGCTGTATTTATACACTCAGCTAAAGTCTATTTCATGCATGCAAGTTTATTCACTGGTTTATGTTGCATTATATATCGCTGAAGCAAATGCCCAGTTTGTGAGGATTGTTTACTGACAATAGCAACTTTTTTTTTTTTTTTCCCCCGATGTGCGCAACAGTTGATAGACAACAGAGAAAAGTATTTTATAGACCTGGCCTGGTTTTACTAAACCAACAACACCAACTATCAAACATTCTTAAAGTTGTTTTTCATTTTTGCCGAGGCCAGTATTGTTCACAAAAGTAAGGAAGCTGTAAAGAATAGCACAGAGCTTTTCTTTCTTCACATGCACACTCCTAATTGCCCTGACGCGTGTGGAGTGAATGCTCCGGGGCAGGTCCCAAGTCTATTGTCAGTGCGCCCTGCCCTCTGGGGTTGTGGTCCACAGCGGTGCGTGTGTGCGCGTAAGTGTGGTGGGGGCTGGCTGGATGGAGGGGGTCTTCGGGAGTTCGGACTATCATGTTGCCTTTGTTTGGGCCTTATCCGAACAGCTGTATGGTAATCAACGGCACATGGTCGGCTGTGTGTGGGGGCTACCAACCCCTCCATTGTCTCCCCGAGGCGTCCACGCGCGCGCACACACACGGTTAAGCCCTGGAGTGCGAGTATTGATTTAGGAAGGAACACCTGTCACTGGCATGGAGATAAAGCAAAGTACATAAGTGTTGTTTAGACGGAGAGTCAAAACTAGTCTGATGGAGCCGCGAGAGAAGATTTATGCTGATAAGTTAAAATGTCTCAACGATTGTGAAACTGCATTATCCTTGCAAGTTTTATCATCACCACGTAACTTTTATTTTTTTAAATGAAACTTTTACTTTTTGTGAATTGATAACAGGTGGCCTTATTGAAATACATTCAGTCTTATTTTTTTTCAATCTGTTTCTTTATTAAAATAAGATAGGCCGACATGGAATAGGTTTTTCCAATTGTCACTCAGAGTGCAGACTCATGTCTCGAGTAGTTGGCACATATCTCAGTGCACAAGCATGTCTTCTGGTGTTGACGTGGTCCATGTATTCGCTGAAGCGTGGTGAGGGGAGGGGTCGGGTGGGGGTCCATTCATATTAAAATGAGGGAGAGGACGCGTGCCTGAAGTGGTGGCCATGCATATCTTGGCACACTTCTCTCAACAAGAACAAAAGACTCGTCAAGAGCGCACAGTGGCAAGAACAGCAGGCAATATAAAGTTGTATTGCACTTATAGTCATGTTAACTCTTAACCCTTTAGTACCCAGGCCTTCAGTAACAGAGTGGGGCAAATAACTTCAGTCAAATCTGTTGTGGTTTTCTGTGGTTCTGCTTTTCAGTGTTGGAGTTTAAGCGTCAACAATGGGGGTAGCAGTAATATAAATTGTGTTACATGGTCATGACATTGAATCAATTCTAAATCATACTTTGCATCAGTTGGTTGAGCTAAAACTAAGCTGCCCTTGCATGGTGAATGTATTGTAATATATTGTGAAGGCAGTCATGCAGAGTGTCTGTGTGTTTTTGGCTTCAAACCAGAAACACCCATGTGCTTTTATGGCTATTCATATTATGTTTTATTTTAGCTAAACAGCTCCACTTTGGTTCTATATCTATATCATATGTACTATCAGATACAATGCTGACCATATGTAATCTGCTCTACAAAGGAAAAAATCAGTAACTGTGTATTTTGTCAGAATTAAATTAAGACCAAAAACAGCTTCATAACACCTGTTTTATTTGATGACAAAGTGTTATGGCTCAATTCTGTCTTGTTTTTGAGAAATGTTGTGAAATTTGCAGTAAATACAGTCTTCAGAAATTAAAAATGTTTTTCACACAACCCAGAGATACTGCAACGTGTTTTGTTCATTTGAAATGTTGCTGTTGTTATTACTGATGTTATAAATGCATTGTTAACAGCAGTAATAATAAACATTCTTACAGACACAAGTTTCTATCAGACTCACAAAAATCCAGCCAATGGGCGAATGATCTGTAAGCCATGATGTTTCCAATGTACCTGGCATTCAGAAAAGACAGTTGTGTTAGATTATACTGGATGAGCAAAATGTGAGCCTTTTGTCTAGTCTGTATAGGAGCTCTAGTTGGGCTGATATCAGTCTGCTGCAACCAGACATTTAGATTAACATTAAAGAGGGTGGATGCTTCACTCTTATGTTCCCCTCATTCCATTTTTAGGGCTGTTCTTGTAATCCATGGTTGCATTTACACAGACCATAAAAATCTGATAACCCGATTATTAGATCTGATTATTACTGTGTGTTTACATGCAATGTGTGCATGTAATGTGCATTTAATTCAAAGGTTTTAGAGTAACTGTGGTCTATGGAAGTGCATCATACAATTATTTTTATAACACTTTTAATCTTTAACATTGTATTTATAATATTTGTTAATACATTTCCTTTTCTTTTTTTCCCCATGTTAACATCTGCACAAATGCCAAACTGGAGTACTCTCATTATTCTATTAACGTAATATTTCATTAATCTGACAACTCCAGAATGAGATTAACAATCTTAACAATAAAAATGTTTTCATGTTAAATTTTTGAGAGAGTTAAGTTATACACCACTATCCAGTGTCATTTTAAACCCAAATTATGTGATATGTTGGTATAAAGTGAATATTTTAGGCAAATAGGCCCCTGCGCACCATTAAAGCCTGTGCCAGTCCACTAATTGCTTTTGGTGAATGCTCCTATAATCAATATGTTAAACCAGCAATGCTTTGTTTTCCTACTGAATACGATTACTGCATTCATCTTTCTTTTCATTATGCTGCTGTCAGTGAGTCATTATTTATGCACAGTCACGTTCCCATAGGCTAATTATTTAGAAATCGAATTATTGTTTCAGCGTGACCTAAATCTGGAAATGGCTTAGTGCTGTGGTGAGAGTTATTTTCATTTAGGGAACAATACAATGAAAAAATTAGTATAGGAGATTATGATATTTGCTTTGTAATAATCAAATCATTCAGAATTAATACGACAGATCAAAAGTGTTGGACATTTATGTTTTTGTTTGTTTAGATTCTCACTGAAGGCCTCAAACTTATAAATGAACACATATGGGATGTAGTAAATAATGTGTGACATAAAACATGAGTCCATACTTGAAGTGAAAACCATTTTAAGTGATGCTCACTGGGGGATTGCAGCACAAAGATAAGGACAAGGCTATACTTTGAGGAGTCTGAATCTAAAATAAAAAAAAAAAAAACTTACTTAGAATTCAATGGTCCTATACATGATTTTTTTTTCTCCCATGTATTTATATATAATAATAATAATCAGAAAGTCCACATTAGCGTATTAGTTATTCTTAGTTTTACTGTCACAGCAAAACTTTGCACTGGTCCCTGAGAGCTGTGAAAAGTGATTATTGACTCATTGTGCCTTGTTCCATACATCTAGTATTAAACACAAAAAAGAAAGATTCAGTGAGGTGTGTCCAAACCTTTGACAGGCATGTAGCAGTTACCATGGTGACACTGACAAAAAGGTTTTAAATTGGTCTGAAAACCCAAGAAAAAATACTAAATGGATTTAAACAGCAGATTTTCAGGAGCCTGTGATAAACACAAGCGTTCATGGTCCTGTAGGAGTTAGATTTTCAACAAAAAGGTGAGAGTGACTAATGAGAGGTGGCTTGTGACTGTAATTTTATGTGTGTGAGACATTTTTAACAGCACAAATCAGCGCTCCTGTTGTAATTCCAAGTAAACCAGCTCTTTCTGGTCAAATTGACTTAAAATAAAGCTCAGATTAAAGTGTAAGTTGAGTGTCAGAGCTTCTAACAGAGTAGAAAATGTTGATGAGATGAACTGCAAAGTATCAGTAGTGTATATTACTCTCTCTACAAAGGAAAATGCTCAGATTTGAGTTAAGATTAAAAAAAGTTTCATAACACCTGTTTTATTTGATGACAAATTTTTATGGCTCAATTCTGTCATCTGAAATGTTATGAAATTTGCAGTAATTACAGTTTCTTCAGTAAGAAAAGCTGCTGGAAATAAGTCAACCATAGATCCTGCACTTTTCTGTTTTTACACAACTCACAGATACTGCAGCAGTTTTGTTCTCTAATTCTGAAATGAGACAAAATACAGACTTGAAACTCACAATTTATTCACAACACAAATTTTGACGATAAGAGATCTCTGGAAATACATCTGCAAATACAGTTGCACTCAAAGGCCAAATGTAAAATCAGTGGTGATGGTTGTGATTGATAAATATGAACTCTTCATATGGTAGGACGTAAACACACTGTCATTTGTGTACCTCGGACATACACAGAGGGAAAATATCTAAACTTTAAAGCCATTTTTCTAATTTTAAAGGGACAATTCAGAATTTTGGACATAGGGCCTCATTTCCTAGTCAGCCAGACTGTTGGAGACGTGTGGAGACACTTTTTAAAAAATATTCCATCCAGTTCTTGTATTTCTAGAGGTCGCTGGTGCTA